ACCTGTCGTGTAAAATTAAGTGCTCCGTAACTGAAAAGTTCGTTTGACTGAGCTGAATTTGGCGTTTGCTATGACTCAATTTTATGTCAAAATTGACGCTCGTATATGTCAATCTCAGAGTACCTTAATTTGCATTAATTTTGCTAAGCGTGCAGTGAATACTCATGAGAGTTTATTTCAGGGGAATTCTTCGAAGAATTCCTAGAATTTCTCAGCGAATCCAATTTAAAAATTTTAATAGAATTGCAAAGCGAATCAAAGAGCCTTCTTATAGAATTTCTAGAGTATTATGAAGCAAGAGAGAATCGAAAAGAGTTGTAAGATGTACTCTGGAGGTATTTTGAAATGATTTTAAGGAAATACTTTTTTTTTTAAGAAATCCTGTGTGTTCCAAGAGTATCAAGACGAGACACATATCTTTTTTTGTCGAGAACGCATAAAAACAAATTGAAATGTAGGATAAAACCAAGGATGAAACAAAACAAAATCAAAATCATGAGAATTCGATTTTTTTGATTTGATTTATAATACTTAGAATACTGCTCTTGATTCTGGATTAAGATAAATCAGGACTTATAAACGTAAGTCCTTAGACCAATATTACGGGCATGGAGAAATTTTAAGATTCTGGATCATGAGAAGCTTTCAAGATTCTAAACTAACTAACGCTTTACACATAGTAATAAAGCGATAAATTGAACTAAGTAAAACAAATTATTGACTCCTGGAACTGTTTGTTATTGAAATAAAAATTTTGTTAGTTGGGTAGATTTTTTGTTGCCAAACAATACCCCTGAAAATAGCACAATTTCTGTTAAAAATTAAAGCATTCACACTTAAATTTGTTCGTCGAGATTCCAACAGCCGAGCAGTTCTGCTGAGATTCAGTAAAACAATTGCCGAGACTCAGCTAACAAGTAACTACCGCATTTCCGGCCTACTAAGCACAACCCGCACTTAGTCTTTCTTAATCTAGCGCAGTTTAGCACTAAACGGAATTTTATTATTACTGATGGCTTCCAAATTTATTTACCTTTCCGTACGTACCATAAGATTTGATAAAGAGAAACCAATCGTTGAGATATTGTCAAAAGTATAACACTGCTTCTTGACGCCAAACTCGGCCTACGGATTCTAAACTCGGCCTAACGCATTGAAACGCCAATGAATTCACTTCGGCCTATCGGATGAAGATAAAAATTGATTCGGTCGGAGCGCTTCTTTTGTTTTTGGGAATAATGGGTGCCAACCTTCATACCACGCGTTCTCATTGACTTCGTTCGGTAGCTTATTAACTAAAGTATCGTACCAAACGCATATTTGACTTGTTAACTCTGATATCATAGATTTATTTGAAGTTTTCTGCTCGATAGGCCCAATATGGGCGATTAGGCCGAAGTAGTTCTCTACCCTATCAGCTAACAAGCAGAGATATCAGCAAAAGTAAATGCCAAGGTAATGGGCTGTTGGAGATTTTACCGAGCTAGATTAAGTGTGTTCAAAATTCAGATAAGATTTGATCGTTTCTCTTTCGTTAATAACTTGACTGCATATTTCGGGCTAATTTCTCTATACAGTCTGTTAAAAGAAAGTATTATTAAGCGTATTTGATGATAAGAACAGCTGAACATGTTTTGGGAGCCGAGTTATTAACGAAAGAGAGAGTCGATGAAGAGAATCGATTAATGAAGATTGGTCTATTTTAAAAGTAACGCGAGAAATGTTGAACTTTTAATCATTTTGATTATAATGCTGTTCTTTTTAAACTGTATTTGGCACTAAAGTTATGTTAACACGTTTGTGGCATTTTGATTTATTTACGTTATTCTACAATAATGCGATTTTCTTTAAATACAAAGCCAACCAACCATCGCCCTTAAATTTTGATATTATATTCTTAAAGCTGGGGCTTCCCGAAAGTCTAGTCAATGTCAATGTTGCCTTTTATCAAGTCCCATCAAATTGAATTGGGCTATATTTAGTAACGAACAAACCCAAATAATTCAAGATTAAGGATGAAATATTCGCCAGCCAATGAAGTTTTTGCTGTTTAGGTTCCGTCCAATTTGCGGTCAAAACGCACCACCACAGAAAATCATATTGCCGTCAACTTTTCCAACTCTATTCAAATCAGGTCAGATTCATAATTTGATCAACCCATTTTCCCCAGCCCGGTGGTCCATTGATGATGGTCTGCCATCCTGTCACGCCACCGCCCATCAGCCATCATCAGCTTGTCACATTAGCGAACTGTTCAAATTCGGCAACGATGATGATGAACGGTTGCAGATTTCGTAGTGTGTTTCCTTTCGTCACTGACAACAGGGCATCTATAGCTTGTTTAGTATCGGCTGGCGGAAACGGGACCAGAATGTTAATCAAGTTAGTTCCCCGCCTATACTGCTTGATTGTTGGACATTCTGATTTTAACCAGCTGTCGCATCCGTTCGCTTGTTGGAGGATTGATTTTTGCGGGAATTTTAGCAAGTATGGGGGTGGTTAAGTTTTTTTTTCTTTTCTGATCCGGAAAGTAAAGACTAAGAATGGACTATGCAACCACCCCGTTCAAGTGGGAAGATGAATCACGACGATGTAAGTAGCAAATGGTTAGAACATTAATCACAACTAAAGAACGTTCACTGTTGGTAAAGGATTAATGAAGAAGTGAACTGGTTTGTGGTGGTGTTTATATATCAGATTACAAGCGAGGAAAAGAAAAATAATTATAAATAAATGCGCTTCCGGAAAGTTTCAAAGTTTTCAAAGTCAAAAGGACAAACAGTGATGTATGTGATACAATAAATTTACATTTTATCACCGTAATATATATTTTTTAACAAACAAGCCAACAAGTGCCAATAAGCTTATAGAATCAAAATCGCTTCATTCCGATTCCTGCAGTTGTTTTAGACCGACTTGCCTGGCGAAGGGGCAAAAAAGAGTGAAACTGATTTTCTCCAAATTTGTATCCATTCTCATATCCTTTCGCAAATATTTGCCTCGTCTATTAAAGATCTCACATCACGGTTGATGGCACACTCCGGCACGTTCCTGGCAGCCATCGATAGCTGAGTAGACGCAAACAAGTATCGAGGCAGGGTAGTCGCCACGCCGCGCCGAGCCATGGCTAAGGGGGTGAAGCAGAACGCAAACTCCTAGACAACCCCAACCGAAATGTGGGGGTGTGACGGAGATGTGTTTATTTATTCATTTGGCGTCCCTAGCAACGGGTTTGTTATGTCCTCGGCGTAACCTGGGACCCGGGATGGGAACCGCAACGGGTGTACGTATGTCTGTCGCAAACTATGACCGTGTCCCATCCCGTCCATGTTCAGTGGCCGGTTCAGTGGTGTATTTGCGTTGGAAAGGGTTAGAAAGTTGGTCCCGTTCATTTTGTGGTCGTTTATGGGGGTTGGCAGACTGTGAAGAACCATAACTTTTCCTTCCGAGAAACATCTTTCTCTTTCTTGGTTGTCGTTGAAGCCGTGAGCGTGAACTTGAGTTACACCAGTTGTTTGTTTAATTACTGGAAAATGCACTCATTTGACAATTCTGGATCAACAATAGAAAAGGAATTAGAATTACTTAAATCGATTGTGCTTGCTATCAAAGTTATTGATAGCGTGTGAATGTGAAACAAAGTTGTATTGAATAATTTTGGATACATTTTTTTATTGAACAAATAACACCCTTTTACGAATAAATTTACATAGTTTCAAAAATTGCGAGGTGTTACTACAATGCTACTGAAAATTTCTGACAAAAAATAGCCTAAGGATTTCTAAAAAAATAAGAAAAATAAATTCTGGTAATAAGACGATACGTAACTGAATGCTGATTTGAAACGTCCTCAGACGTACCTCAGTGCTTGCGCCCGATATTGAATTTTCATTCCTTCACGTGACTGAACATTTTGGTGGCACCCATTTCAAAATCTATCCACTCTGAACTGGGACAGTTCAAGATCAACAATTGAAAAGGCCTCAACTCCATTTTGTAAACAAACCTTGTAAGGCAATATTCTCGCGAACCCAAAACCGACATTCGCAAACCTTAAACACAAGCGGGTAGCGGAAAATTTACCCTACCTGTTCATTATGTTGGTTTGCGTTGGCGGACTTCGGTTCGCGACAAAATGGCCTTACAAGGTTTGTTTACAAAATGTAGTTGTGGCCTTTTTAATTGTTGGTCTTGAGTTGGCCGGGGGTGACAGAACGTGGGTGACGCTATCCGCCAGTGTGTTAAATATTTATGATTCCGATTTTTCCACCATTCGCGCACTGACACGCAGCATTCCTGTACTCCACGGACGAATGATACCGGTACCGTCTGACGATAAGTTGTCTCTGTAGGTTAAATATAGCGAAAAATTGATGCTGAAAGTTTGGACAAGTGTGTCTGGTATGGCACCACCTTCGTCATTTATTTCTACGAAAAATGTGCGGTGGCAACGACGTCGACAGAGATGAATGTTGCATTCGTTTGGGTCGAGGACTCAACTTGAAACAGAGTTGGCAGTTGTTAGGATGATGATTATGATGACGAAGGGCACGTGATGTCAATCAATGACTTTTGTCAACATTTGTGTCCAGATGACGTCGTCATCACTGGAATGGCTCCGAAGCGGTGGCAGTTTATGAGCTGAAGAGATTTGTTTCGATCAAGTTTTCGTTTTTCTTTGATGGAGTGGAAAACACATTTTCAGGGTGGACGACTCTTTGGCAGTTTGGCAAAAGTTGCTCCAATCAATTAGGGTGTGGCTTTGTTGTGAGGTTCCGTTTGAATAAATCTTAATATTTTACTCTTGTTAAATCGTGTCCAATTTGCATCCGATTACTCGAATAATCAAAAGCTCAAAATCAGTTTTAAAATTTGAACCCTTTTCATCCTCGATACCCTTTCTATTTTCTCACGAGAACGGACGTGAGCGTTTTTTCCTGTAAAAGTTACACGCGTTGAAGGGTGTTATGATGAGGATAGCTTCAAGTAATTTAAGAAGATGTACAATGTACACAAAAGCTGTCCATAGTCAAACAAACATAACGCTTCGAATAATGTTCATCGCTCACTCATTTACGGGTTTGTTTAAATTTGTGTTAGTTGGTAGGTGTTGTAGCGGACATAATGAACATTGACGGTTGAAAACTTAGCGTGCTATGCCCTGTTTTATGTCTGTATGTCTGTGAGGTAGTCTTTTCCTCATTCGACAGATGATCATCAATTTTCAAACAAATTAAAATTTTATGAACCATGAACGAATAGGCAGAACATACCAACTGGTGTGAAAAAGACGTGCTCTGAATGAACTGATAAAAGTAAATCCAGAATTGCATAAGCAACTTTCCTAATCATTTTCAAATTTATTTACGACAGAACAGAGCTAAAGTTTATTATCTGATTAGAGCAGTGCTTTTATGGGGGTAAATGTGGAAAACTCAGACGATAAATTCAACCCGCATTTTCGAGGGAAAAGTTGTCTGCAGGATTCGAGGAAAAAACTTCTCAGCAAACATCTTCGAACGATTCCTGGAAAAGAATCACGAACGGTATTTAATCAGTTTGTCCTAATTTGTGACATAAGAAGTGATTTCTTACCTCCTTACTAATGTTCGCTTTTGCGTTTTCTTTCATGCATTTCACCTCATCCATCAAACGAACTCTTTCCGCCTGTTTCTTTTGATCTTTGTCGTACTTTACCAAGAATGCTGCGAGGAACTCAATCGGATCCTCCGGCTGGTGCAGGAACGAGAGAGCAAGCCCTTTCCGCAACGGTAATCCAATTGTATCTTGTATATATTTAACATCAGAATCACGCTGTCTTCTTATTTCTTCAGAAACTCCAAATTCTGAGACTATTGATATTATTTCATCTGACATTACCTCTTCGCTTAAATTTCCCAGAGAAACTACTTCCTCAGATAATTTCCTACTCTCGATTCCACTAGCCATTGAAGCTTCCAGATATATCCTTTTCCCATCACTGTCAATATAGTACTTTCCAAACTCGTCTTCGAAGAATCTTTTCGTGTAGATTTTTCTTCCGAAACTATCAATGTAGTATTCACCCTTCTCGTCCATCAGCTTTTCAAATGCTTCTTTTATCTTCTCCCAACAACCGTCTTCTGTTAGAATATACTCCGACGCTCCCGATTCCCTCTGATAAACCTTCTGTCCGAATTCGTTGATATAGTACCTTCCACGCTCATCTTCGTAAAACTTCGGTCTTGCTTGTGCCTTGCCCAACATTTCCATATTCTCCTCAAACTCCCTTTGCAGTTCGGCAATTCTCGCGTTGATTATCTCCAGTTCCGAAGGCGTCGCATTCTTCTTCCGCTCCTCAAGCTCCCTGATCTCATCCAAATGCTTCTGGGTTAACTCGTCTCTGAATGCATCCAAATCATCGATCATACTTCTTGACAAGGCCTTCACCTCTTCACACTTATCCTTCAGGAGGCGCTGATCTGCGTCGTGTTTCTCACGAACCGTTGCAATCTCCCCTTCCAGTTCGGCCAACAACCGTGCTCGTTCTTCCTCCGTCAAGGTATCGTCCTCCAGTATGGCCAACCTTTTCAGTTCCAGCTGTTCCAACTTCTCCTGAAACTCCACCATGCGATCCGAGATCTCCTTCTCGATCTTCTGGATCAGCTTCTCCAAACGTACAACCTCGCGTATTCCACTTCGTAAAGCTTCCCGCTTGGCCATCAGTCGATCATGAACCCTCTCCCGTTCCTCAATCAGGTGGGCAACCTGTTTTTCCAACCCCTGGATATCGGTCTGCAGTAGATCGATTGATCGGATCCGATGCTCCAGGTCCAACTCCTGAACTTCCAACCTATCAATAGCTGCATTCCGTTGCTCCTTCAAGCTGATCGCCGAGGGAAACAGTTCCTGGCGTAGTTCGGTTATTTCCGCCTCTTGAATGAGTATTTCTGTGCGTGATTTTGTAATTTCCTGGTTCAATCTGTCGCGGATCGATTCTAACGAGGATCCTCCTTCACTGCTATCCATCTCGTCGAGTAGATGCGTACAGCGGATGAGAAAATCGTGCAGAAGGGTGTTCACTTGCAGTTTGAGACGTGAGATGTTGTATATTACCTGGAATCTGCGGGATTCCGGTTGGAGTACGTGGCGAATGTTGTTGTGATTTTTCACAACCGTGAGGTAAAGAAATGCGGTACGATCGAGCAGATTTTGGTACTGAGCTATTTGGTAGATGTCCGGAAGCTGGTGGAGCAACTCTTGGATTTCTGCTTGAAACGCTCGAAAGGATTCTTGGAACACTGTGGTGGTTCTGAAAAAAAAGAGTATTTAGGTCAATCACTTCAAACTGTCAGATTCAAACAAACCTTATCAATCGCTGGTAAAATATCTTTTCGAATGCAGATGCCTCGCAGTTTAAAATGACTCGCTTGAAACCTTCAAGCTTCCTCAAACAGAACTGCCTTGTTCGACAGAGGCTTATAACCTTTCGTTCGATAACAGTGAGAAAAATAGTGCCAGTCGTATGTGATTCTAGATTAATGATGATTTCTTCTAAAAAACGTTCCGAATCTTCGACGGACTCCGTAAACAGAAGGAAATCGCAATCCAGAACGAAACGGCTGAAACCTCTGAGCTGACGATTTTTCAGCGCAATGCAATTGGATATTTTACCCTGCAGCTTGTCCGAAAGGCTGCTGCTCATTGTCCATCTACTGACATACGATGGTACATGACATCCTCAGAATAGGAAAACTAGATCTGAATCTAACTTACCGGTTCGAGAAACACGTGAAACAAAATATTGCTATAAGGTAGCAACATCATTTCAAATTCTAGCTCGAGCATAAAGCCATCGCTTGCTTGCTCAACAAGAAAAAAATCGAAGCCATGCAATCGAGATTCAACATCCTTCTACACAAGAATAGAACAAGAAAATGCACTTCATTCTCACAAAAGAAAAACAGAGCTGCTTTGTGCAGGATTAAACTTTCACATGCTATTGCAGATTTTACAACACTCACTAAGCTGCTACACACCAGCTAGAAAAAGTTTACTCGCCAGCAAGAATGAGTGTAAATTATAATGCTCATTGCATTTGAACACGCCCGTCAGTAAATTCTTTCGGGGCACATTTTTTCAAGTGTTAAAACCCTCTTTGCAGCTGTTTATCTATTGACACTTTCGTTTGATATATTGTTTTTGTAGAGATAATTGATTGATTTATCTTTATTAGGGAGGCTTTCAGCCTGGGGCTGTTCGCCTCCACCTTTTGTAGAGATACTCGCCAATGACCATTCGTTAGATCAGTCGCCATTAGCGTAGTGTCCATGAAACACGGTTATTAATTAAGAGCTAAACTGCCCATAATCGCAAGTCAGTCCCATCTGTAAAAAACTATCGTGAAATTTTTATTTTATGGCCAAAATCTGAGTAGGACAGACTTGCGATTACATTTAACGTCAATGAGAAAAATATCCGCAAGTCAGTCACAATTTCATGATGATGCTGCATTAGTTTAGCACAGTATTGAACAGTAGAAAGATACCATGGTTCCATAAAACGCTATTGAATGTTTCTGGATTTGTTCCGCTGGTTCCAGAGCAATGGCCAGAACATATTTCAGTGAGTATAGGTCTTCATCAGACCAGAGCTTTTCATAAACGTGCCAAACCCACCATGAGATAAATCAATTCACATGTGAATTCAAAAATAAGACCAATAAGAGTTATTATGAGTGACCAGCACCATGTAGGCCACACCCGAACAAGTTCCGGGTATCCCCGGGGAAGTGGTAAATCCTATTTAAATCAAAATCCTTCAAGCGATACATCAAATCACATGAGAAGTCAAAGCCATATTCATTGGCGGCCAAACTGTGTATCGTAAGAACTATATTTGCCACATCAGATACCCTAGGGGAAGTGGACAAAATCTATCTTGAGACAAATCTTATGATGCGATGTGTTGTCTAACATTTCTAACATATTGTTTTCTAATGGGACTGACTTGCGGCTACTTTTCGCTGTGGGACAATTTGATATGGATTGATTTTTCTTGAACAAACCACCTTTTTTCAACAGCACATCTAAAAAAATATAGAAAGATAAATTGAATAATGATGCTAACTCAAAATTGGTAAAAATGCAGATGGGACTGACTTGCGATTACCGGCAGTAAACTAATGCATGAATTTGTAAGTTGCATGGCAGGTACAATGATGCTGTGCCCAATAGAAGTCAACCAGACTGGATCGGCTATCGAACCCGTGGCCTCCAGCTTGGAAATACGGTGCCTTAACTGACTAGTCAATAATAGCCGGCTCATTTTCAGCAGCCTTTGTCCATTTGTATCACTTTTTATGGAATATTTTAGTTTTGCGATTGAATTTTTAAATCGAAACAAAGTTCAAAGGAAAAACCTCAAAACCCCTCATCTATCAAGTGTAAGCTAAACCACATTTAAAACCTCCTTCTTCTCTTTTCCCATCCAAAAAATTGTAAATCTACACTAACCTCGAGACGACCGCGAGTACTCGGTCCAGTTCCTTTAACTTTAAATATAAGACAGTAATAATGTATAACGCAAAGGATAACTCGGCTCTGTAAAGTTTATTCGATTGAGCCTGTACAAATAAAGTAATTACAAAAAAAAAAAAAATTAAGTGTAAGCTAGATAAAGGAGTTGGCATTTGGTTTAGTTTTGTCAGTGGCGTCCCCCGCCATCACTGATAAAAGAGATGATCGCCGATTTGCTCACGTACCTTCGATGTGCGGAAACAGTTCTATCGATTGTTTCACATTCAAGTCGTCATGTGAAATTTGCTTAAACTAAGTTCTATACCTATTAAAAGATATTGATGATAACATAATTAATTTAATTTACATACAGACAATATAAACTGTCAGGAAGCTAAATGTGCATTATAAAACAGAATCTTAAGCCTAACTCGGGAGATATGTAAATCTAAGCAGCTGTAACATTTGTTGAAAATCTCGCAAATGCTAGTTATCGGCTCATTAGCGCCGTAGTTTCTGCGCAAAGCCGGGATGTCGATAAAAAATTAATGTAAATTTACTCATCTGACATTCAATTGATGAATAAGTGAACCGTAATCAATGTCCGATCGTAGGAGATCGGCGATGACGGTAGGCTTAGAGACACCACCGCGAACACTAAGTAATTGTAGGGACATGCAATTACAGCGACTTTCACAACTAGGGTAGTTGAAAGGATCACTCCAGCGTAGCCAACGAAGAGCGAAACGTACAAATCTTTGCTGAATGGCCCCAAACGCCCAACGTGGTGTAAAGTCACGCGAAATGGTTGTCAAAAAATCGACATCCTCAACAAAGAAAACTTAAACATGAAAATAAACGGATCCGAGGGAAAGCAGCATAAGCATAACCATTTTAAATCTTATTGCGAATTTTACATAATGTTGACTCAATCAACCAATTTGAAACAAATAATGAGAAAGCCACAAAAGAGTTCTCATTTTTGCTCTGGAAAAAAAAGGCGCCAATTTGTGAGCGGAGTTGAGAGGATGTAAACAAAGGCAAGAAAATTAATATTTTTCAAGCAAAACAACTTGAAAATTGAAAGTGATCGACTCTCCACCGCTCAGTTCAATACGATTCACTCGGTTGCTATAAAATGGAGCCCATCCTATGGAACAGCACTCTACACACTTGGATTATTTTGCCGAAATCTGTGAAATTTCACCGAAATCTCAACAGCTGAACATTCGATAAAAAGTTCGGTGATTTTTCACAGTTTTCCTGTAATTTTTCAGCGAATATCTATGAAAAAATCATAGAAAATCTGTCAAAAATCACCGACCTGTTTACCGAACGTTCAGCAGTTGAGATTTCGGAAAAATTTCACAGATTTCGATAAAATAATCTTAGAGTGCAATGTGGAGTGGACTAGCGAACAATAGAGTGTTTTTAAACAGAAAATGTCCCTAAACGGTTTGGATAAACGAAATTTGAAACCAAATTGAGAAGAGGCCTTAGCGGAAACATAAGCCACATGGTCCTTGAAGGTGAGTTGTGAATCAAGCATGACGCCTAAGTCTTTATTGGTAGACTCACGGTTTAATATTTGCTCCTGCAGACTGCATGATTTTTTCTTGGCGAATGTTATAATGTCACATTTAGAAGCATTTAATATCATCGTGTTCTTGTCACACCAAACAGCAAAAATGTTCAGCTGCTGCTGAACAAACAATGCATCACTTCGATCTTTGATGATAAATTATAGACAGCTTCAGGCATAGAAAAGTGATCGTCATTCAGATACAATAAAAATATGAACGGTCCCAGATGACTGCCTTGAGGTACACCAGAAGAAACAGCGAACAGTTGAGAAATATGATCTCCTATCTTCACTGAAATATGTCGACCGGTGAGGTATGAGCGAAGCCAATCATGAAGGGAACCGTGAAAGCCAAGTCGCTCTAGTTTGGCCACTGCAATCTCGTGATTTCTTTTATTAAAAACAGCGGAAAGATCGGTGTAGATAGCATCCACTTGATTACCTCTTTCCATCTCGCGTATGATTGATAATGTGTGTTGAACGAGACTTGTAGCGGTCGCGATGTAACTGGAGCACGTGTGATTTAAATAAGCTAGCACCAATAGTTGAAGAAGTTTTAAGACTGCACATAAAGCAGCGATGTCACGTTAGTTGGCTGACTGCTTATTGCCTTTTTTGAAAACAGGGAAAACAAAAGAAACCTTCCAGCCGCCGGGGAAGATCCCCGAATCCAAAGAGAGGTTGAAGATGGACGCTAATGGTGCGGCCAGGGCTCGAATACTGTTCTTAATAACCATACAACGACATTAGAATTAACTGTCAACAACAGAATGCATTGATTTCTATTGTTATTTTATTGTAATTGTATGGTTATTTTTATATGGGCCTGTATGAATTTTGTGCACTTTTTTGAACCGATGGAGCCCTTATAAGTATGAACACTAGGTGTACAAGAAATCAAGCCGAACAATGCATATGGCCCTAAGTAACATTTCCAGATTCTCTCCATCGATTTTCTTTATGCCATGTAAAGACATTATATGCTTTTTCCTACAAACAGGTCTATGAAAGAAGCTATAGAGCATTTTACGAGCTGATTTTTAAATTCATGAATGAACTTTGACAGGAGTTAGTTTCCGTCAGAAACAACATCAATATCATAATGTTTGACAAGTCGGCGCCGGTGGTGTAATGGTAAGCGTGACTGCTTTCTAACACCCCAATGGGTCTGGGTTCAATCCCAGCCGAGGTCGGTGGGATTTTTCTGAGGCATAAAAATCTCTGGTCACGTCTTCCTTAGGAAGGGAAGTAAAGCCGTTGGTCCCGGCCTATGTGTGTTGAATGGGTGCGATATCCTACGCAGGTGTGGAAGCTGCCTTCCTGCACATTCGATTGCCGTCAATGGATGGCAATCGATGTCCGTCGGTGATTGGCACTAGATTGCGGAACAGAGACCGACGTTAAATAAAGGAAAGAAGCTAATTTTTGACAGGCAAACTGGCTACTGTCAATTCGTAAAATGGTATATTGACTAATACGCAAATACGCCAAGTCGTTTAAAAAAATCGATCAATGTTACTCAAGAACTTATGTATTGTTCGACTTGAATGCTCTTTCAGTTTAAACGAAAAGTTGTTCAAGGTGCGTACCTATAGGTATTCTAATGTGTCAAATTCATGATCCAGGTTAGTTAACAATTTGCTCTAAAATCGCACTTACCCCCCCCCCCCCCATTTTTTTTCTATCAACCTTTTCCTTAAAACTTTCTTCACCTAAGCTTAAGTCTTAAATCAGGTTTAACTACATATATGGATAAACCTGGTTTAAGATTTAAGCGCAGGTGAAGAAATCTGTTATTATTGACATAAACAAAGTCAGTTACTCACAATTTAAGTTAATGTATAATTACTTTAAGCATTCGTTGAAGTGGGTTGAATGTTTTCAACCCCCAACATTTACGTACGGAAATTTTACCGCCTGCATCCACACAATTTAAAACTATCGTTCTTGCTACTTCTCTATAAATACAAACCATTTTCTTCGGGTTCGCAGAACTATTAGATGATGCTACTTAGCATTGGAATGTGCACTAGCGTTCGTAGGTAACCTACGTGTGACTGTTTATTCACACAATACAGCATACACTCGACTGAAAAGCTTCGAAAAGACGACGCCAAGAATGATGGGGGTGACGACGGAGAAGTAGACTAATTGTTGCCAATGGCAGCATGGATGGCAGCAGCCTTTTCTCGACAGTCAACCAGGATGCGAGGAGCCAACTTTTTTTTTTGTTGCAAATGCTCACACTGTTGCTGTTGCTGCCGGCTCGGATCCGGGTGTAAGGACCAAGATTGTTCCGGTTAGAAGGTTAAACAGAATCAGTCGAATATGTATATTGCTTTGGTATTGTATTGGGCAACATTGGAAACGAAACCATTTGAAGGGACGATGCATGTGGGATTTCTAGAATTTCTAGTAAAAAAGATAAGATTTTGCAATACGAGTAACCTCTGAACTGGAAGAATCTTGGCAAGGACGTGTGAAAAGCTAAGCGCTGGATGGAAGCTTTCAAACGGAATGCGATGAACTGTGAGCGGGTGTGATGGGCGTGTGTGTGTCTGGGTATGGTTTCAGTGAATGAGCTCACGGTTGTATAAACACTTCATGAATATTTTACGTGAACTTGACACCCGTTACTGGGTAAATAACACTGTGCCATAGTCGTTGGCGTTGAATTGGATCCTGTCGTTGATGGTGGGCGCAGCGAAAGAGTAGGAAATGCAGCGCAGGAATCCCCCTGAGGGCACTGTCGGGAGACAACAATAGCCATCTTTGAACTGCGTGGATTTGTACGGTTCGGCTGACTTGCTGGCTGATGGGAAATCGCTTTGCACATAGAACAATAAATAGTTGCAACTCGTTTCAAAGCTATCCGTAGTGGGTAGAGAAGTCGCTCTCGTCTATGCCATGGTTATGCAAATAAATGGAAAATCACGATTCAGGAAACTCCGCGGGAGCGCAAATAAAAAGCTATGCGCATCCGTCCGTCGTGCACGGAAATACGAACGGAATATAATATGTAATATGTCCGTAAGATGTAGCTATAGTATTTATTTGCATGAATATTTTCTCCGCTACTAGACTTAAAACGTTTCGAATTTGGTTTCTCTATGTGAAATTAGCTAAAAATACAAAATTTGTCAAACAACCGTCGAGGTCTAAGTTGATAAGGTTGAATACTTGAATACCAAAATAGTCCTGAATTCGACACAATCATAAAATATTTATAATATTTCGGTTCGAACAGTCAGTAGACTTGAACGACGATTGAGTCTTACTCAGTGCCTGATGCACACGCTGTATCCACAGAGATGCTACTATGTAAATCATCACATTTTTTCGAGCTTCCACCGGAAAAAAAAAAAATGAAAACATTTCTTTAGCAATATTGACCTAACCAAATCTCCTTTAAAAGCATCAGAAAGATAAAACACAAACAGAACAAAAAGCGAAAGAAAGTCTTTCACTCTGCCGGGGTTGGAAATTGCTTAAAGTTCTATTTGATCTAAGAGGGCAGCATACCCCGGACGCTGACAACAAATCATATTTCTTTCACAAACAGCAACCAGAAAAATCATCTCAAGTTCGCTGCAATGGCCTACGGTACGACAGTTTTGGCGCTCAACAAACCTTGTTAATTATTCCAGTGATAATTTTCAATTGCCCATCGGAGCAATTAATTTGAATTTTTCGCGAATGTTGGAGGTAGCGCTTCTCACACTCATATTGTCCTTACATTTCTTCTGCAGAAATTGAAATTAGTTTTCCGGAAATTCTAAACAACGAGCGCGTGGGAAGTCTACGTAGCAGCTGCTGTGGACCGTCGAAACAGATGCTCATTCTCATTAGCAACTAAGATCACAAACAAAATCCCAAGCTCCCTAGAACATACCTAGCGTTCGAAGTGGGCATATAAAATTGTTTTTAATCGCATTAGAAATCCCGTCTTTTCCACCGTCGTCGTTCCACCTTGTGGTGAACCTTGGCGCAGGTTAAAACAAAAAAGAAATCCTATAGATTTTGCTTTATAATGAGTTTTCTATCTACGGACGATTTGCTGCAGGGCAAAGCTCCACTCTCATGCACCCTAATCCAAATAGGATCTGGAAGCTGGACAACAGATCGAATTGAGTCGTTGAATGGAATCGGATCTGTTCCTGCTCACTGAATGTACAGGGAAACAATGGTGAGCGAACATACCGGGATTCGATTATCAATAGGAGGCATCCAACTTGAGACTGATGAATTGGGAAACTACCTGAGTTTGTGCCATTCCTCATGTGTGTGTCGGAGATGGAAGTAAAAAAGGTCAAGAGGCACTTGCAATCCGAATTGATGCACGATGCTAGTGGTTTTAACTGAGCTTGAAGTCTCAAAGGATCTCCCTCTATCTCTATATATGTATATAGGTCAATCGAGTGGCACTTCTTTTCTGCTGACCCTTGTCAAGTTGAAAAGGGAATTCTAATTAAACCTTCCAATAGCTTTGGGTAACGTACGAAATCATGACAGACCTAGTGTTGAGAACTTAATTGAGACTTTCTAAGCCTGGTATATCATTGCATTCCTTAATTTTGTGGCAAGCAAATTTTCCAACCCGAACAAATCCTAGCTCGAACCGGGAACCGGACGCGCCATCCTATGTCCCCTAGTAAAGCATCTTCTAATTAAATTAACATTTCTTTGAAGCGAACCCTTACGGAAAAAAAACCCGTCTACTATTATCTTGGTAGGGGTTGCCCAAAAGAACAAAGTAAATAGTGAATGGATTCTCCCTAGAGCCTTTCCCATCATCATAATCATCGTTATAATCTTTCCAGACAGCCACCGCTTTTGAGTGGGAACCTTTGCAGTCGACCTTGACATTTTTGACAATCAGTAGCCATCCCCATTATCGTCGTCGGTCATTGTGACAAAATGCAAAAGGGCAAAAACGGAAATGTTCCGAAATCAATCTTGTTGAAATAATCCAATTTAATCTAGCTAGGAATTGATCCTTTAATTTGGCAACGAGTTGCAGGAAGGGTCTGAGGAGGTTAATCCGGAAAATGAGTGGTATTTTTGGTAGTTGAACATTTTGGTCACAGGCTACAGTTGCTGGGTGGGTTGTGAATGATTGTCTTTTTGTGCTATTATAACACTGAATTTAAATATGAATGTGGGACCCAATATCGGTTTAGTAAACATATTTACAAGTCTCCTGATATTTGATAACGGCTCAGCGATTGAAACCATCCTTGGAAACGAAACGTTGGAACGGGGATATAATTTGAACCATTCGAAATAAATATGAATTGGTCTACGTCAAATTAGTGCCACGATATACCTTCTCCACGGTCTCAGCGTCATTTACTGTTTTATTCAATAGTTAAAAAGTAATTTCTCCACTAATAAAATCAATTCACTACTCGGAACAGTTAGAATCCTCACTCCGGTGCGGCCACATCTTCCTCCACCAACCCCTTAAGTAAAGAAAGAGAAAAAATATCCTGTCACATTCTGGCACATTTGAGCTTGATGATTCCGCAGACTGTCTCCGTTCCGGATATCGTTGCTAGCACTGACTGTTTGTTATTCTACTGATTTCCATGGAATTTTCGTTATTTCTCCGAAGGAGAGGTGAAAATGAAAAGCCAGAATGACAGATTTATGACGCTTTGCACCAGTTGGAATGCATAGAAAAACCTCTCTTAGGAACGATGAGAACGAAATACATGTGATACCTTTCTGTGTAACCTTGTCTATACGAGTTAGACAGGTTTTTGTTAAAGCTTGCCTTCGAGCCACATAACGAGCGAGGATAAAATAGACTCGAAAAACATATATTTGAATAATAAAATACAACTCATGACAACACGGCCGGAAAGCCATCAGTCTTCATCCTCCGCCAGCAGAGCTTCTCCATCGAGCTTTTTGAGATTCGGTAGCCTCTTAAGGGCCTCCCTCTGGTATGCTCCGGCATCAATGTTTTCAACCAAGGGATTTCCGACAAACAGTAAGTCCTCAAGAGTGCCGATTGCCTGTAGCTTCTGAAATTCACCCCAATCACGAATCGAATTGTACCCTATGTACAGTACCTTGAGGCGCTTGAGATTCTCGACACCCTTCAGCTTATCGATGAGATTGTAGCTTATCCACAGCTCTTCCAGTGTGTCGCCAACTGCTTCCTGGAAGTTATTAGCATTAGAAAGTGTGGTAAAAGGAATGTAAGTAGCTTACAAGTCCGTTCAGCGTTTTGATGTAATTTCGACCCAAGGAGAGAATCCGAAGATTTTTCATACCATTCAAACCGATTATCTTGTCGATCATATTTGAAGAGAGGCTAAGTTTTCTGATTGATAGTTTTCGTTATGCAATGCAGAAGAAACCTATTAATAGAAGCTAATTTTATGAGGGACACTTTCAACACTTACTCACATTCCACCAGCGTAGATAATGTTCCGTCCATTTTCTCTATCGGTGGCCATTGAAACTGCAGTTGTATGTCCTTGGCCTTTGTGGGGTCTTCCCCATTCCGTGCGACCGACCAGCGTTGAAGAGCTTCCTTGATGGTCGTTGGGCGAGCCATGTTTGACGGAGAATCGTATCGGATCACACGGCTACTTTGTTATGAATGCATTTTTGGTCCTTTTAGTCAAAACTTTGTAAAGTTCAATTTGCTTCCATTCTTTGTTCTACCATCATACTTCGTTGCCCGCTAACGACAAAAACGAATTTCCAATAAAGGAATGACACGTTCTATAGCCAAGGAAACACCTGGTACAGCTGCAGACGTGTTACACTGCGGGACCTTTGTTACAGTTCCATCTCATCTCATACCTTTCGAAAGTCAAGCACACAACACAAAGACGAAGTTCTTTTTTCTCCTTGCTGGTATACTCCCGTACATTTGTTTATTCAATTTAAAAGTCGAAAAAATAATAAAACTTTTTAGAGAACCACATATCTGAACCAAAAAAACCGCAACTAATGTATGTGTATTAGACTGATGCAAATTTTGATATTTTCGCTCCACGGTGCTCAAACGGTTCTAAATTGGGTCCTGATTAGCCTCGCAAAACTTAAACTCATTAATTAAGAAACTGACTTGGCACAAACAATATGAAGTTTATATGGTAATTACTATGAAAAAAAAAACAAATTTTTAGTTCACATCTATCTCAAAATTTACCACATCACTCTGTTTTTAAAAATGAGATGTATGCTTGTAGGAGATTTTCTCAGCTACAACATTGTTGAAGACCACTTTTTGATTAAATGTTAAGAAGAAAATGTATTATTGATTCAAGTTAGCAATTTCCTGATTATGCTTAATCAACTGTTCAGCAGGCAACATTGGTGTTTCAGGCACGTAGAATAGAGCATAAAAATCATGGCTACTGTGTTACACTGAACAATACAGTGTTGCCCACAAAACAGCTGCTCGATCATACCATAAGATTATCAACCTCTTAAACTCATCCCACTGCGTCCTAGCAAGAAGTACGGTCGACTTGTTTCGCGCTCCGTTGTTTTGGAAGTTTTTTCGGTATTCGCTTGATATAATTTATCAGTTTTTTTCTCACTTAGTGACTCCTGGCATAGTTCCCGGTAAATTGATCGAAAAGTGAGTTTTTTTTAGTAGAAAGTGTCATTTTCGGAAAGATTAATCCGTGCTATTGGAAATTCGCAAACAAATTTGGGCATCATCGTTGCGTGGTCACGCATACGCGCTTACGCATACCCGCTCACGTATCATCATCATCGAGTGTGAGCACGATGGGAAATACATAGGTGCCACAGTCGGAAGAAGTGTTAGTTTGTTTACATAAATGAACCATTCCCATTTTGTTATGGCATGTTTGCTATAAGAAATGCGCCTCTTGTTTATTAGCGAATTTCACATCAAAGATTGATTAATTGAGTAGGAAATCAGTTTGGCACGGCATTTGTGACCAGCATACACCTTCCGGTAGTATGAAACAAGTCAAAAACTGTTCAAATCCGCAGATAAAAATTTTTGTTTTGAATTTTTGTATAGCAAAATAGTGAACTTTTCGTGAACATTAACGGCAAAGAACTCACCAACACTGGGAGACTGTGAGTTCCTGCCCACCTGTCATTTCCCATCGTGGAGTGTGAGCACCCGTTTCTACATCTGACGGATTTCACGCCAACTCATCCAGTGGTTGGCAGCACCCTCTCAGAACCTTATGGAACTTTGTGGGTGTGGAGACTTAGCAATTTTAAGCAACTTTGCGTACTTATTTTTTTCAAAATTTATCTCGCCTAACATTTGATAAGGGTCAAAGTTTTTTGTCGATTTTTTTTTCAAATCAATATAGCTTAAAAATGACTAGCCCTACAAAAAAGTGATGTATGGCGAACTTTTAGCAAATAATCTGAAATTTTATAAAAAAATTTAAATAAAATAAAAAATCGGTTTCTACACTCTAAAAAAATATATTTAAAAATTAAAAGTCATTTTCCCAAAAATGGTACCCCTCAGATTTGCTTGATATTTTTTCTCATGAAAGGCAATATAATTACCTAACTTTTCTTCATACATCGCAAAGTGGGCGCTTTTAAGGAAAAAAAGTTGTTCGAACAACAACTTTTTCATGTTAATTTTTTTTTAGCGTGTTTCACTCAAAGTCGAATAGTAATACGCGCACAACCTTATTAAAATTCGATTAAACTTTATGGGTATACTTTTCGATAATCTGGGCGAAATCTAGCCTAACATTTGAAAAGGGTACAGAGAAGTTACCTGCAAATCGTCCAATAAGAGTTCAGAACAAAACGTTCTAATGAGGAACAGCCATCTCAGCATGGTTTGCACTTTCCTGTGATGGATTGTATTATAATATATGCATACACTCTATCCAACTTCTATAAAACCACCCTCAAATTGTTCCAAATCAACAGGTAAACTAAGTAAAAATCACTTAGTATGTTTTATTCATGAAAAGATTTCAATTCATGTATTTGTGATTAATTTAATTAGAAAAATAATCATTCATTTATTTTTATGTATTAGGTGTGTCCATTAGTAAGCAATATGCATATATATGTTTATACCTCATCTCTCAAGTGAATACATATAATAGCGCAGGTAACTTAACGATTATTTAAGGCATATCGAAAATAATCGTTAAGTTACCTGCTATATAGCAGTTATATAACAACGCAGGTAGTCACATGAGAGATATAAGGTATAAACTTAAAGCACCGCAGTCTGTTTCTACCGACATAATCTAATATTTAAGTTTGGTGATATCACAACAATGCTCATAGTTGCTGTAGTGCATAGTTGTTGAAAGTGTAGTGCTGCATAGTTGTTGAAACGAAAAAGTGTTTATATATACAACAATGGAAAAATCTGCTGAATTGATTATTAAAAGGGTGCAATGTAGTGCCAACATAAACAATCCCAATTGCAGCCGCAATAATTTACGTAATTTATCATCAAGTCTCATAGAGAAAATACATTCATGGGGCTTTGATCATCAATTGGATGTAACAATGCGTATTTGTGAATCGTGTCGTGGAATTTTAGTGCACAATAGGACACCTCTCCCGAAAAAGAGGCGATCGGATGGAAACGAATCAAGCCATGCTCGGAAGTTTGAAGAGCCGCAACCATCAACAAGTCATCAGCAATCAGAACATCAGGAATTTGATGGTACACTAGGTAAATAATAATAACTTTAACTGTTTCAACTGTGTGGTTTAAGGATTGTACATCGAAGATACAACTTCATTTTCAACATTTTTTTAGAGCACGAGCTGGATGAACCGCTTATCGTACAAATTTGATCGATTGGTAGGCCAACCTTGGTGAACAATCTATCAAATTTTCACGACTGTACGATATGCGGTTTATGCAGCTCGTGCTCCACAAACATGGGGAAAATTCAGATACGGCTTCGATGTACCGTAAACGGGGATGTCTTTGATAATGGAGGTAACTTTGATAATGCAGCTAATCCAAAAAGTTATGACTTAATGCTCTTCGTATTCATTATTTTGGAAGGGAACATCGGTTTCCTATCCAAAATATTGCGTACGATGTGCCTTAAGTCATAAATTTTTGGCTTAGCTGCATTACCAAAGTTACCCCTATTATCAAAACCACCCCCGTTCATGGTACTATCACCTTAACAGCGTTATATATTAATGTGTGGTAATATTTTTTTTTTTCTTTAATTTTACAGATACAGATCCATCGCTAGAATCAATCCCATCAGCGGATCAGATCCAAGGTCCATATAATGTGGAACAATTCAATTGTATAGCTTCAACCTTACAGTTATCACCAATTTCATCGAGAAGTATGAGAAGTATGAATTATCGTGTTCAAAAATCTGCAGAGATCACAAAGGCAGTGCGTAAAAATATATTTGGGATGGATTCAGACGATGTCAACAAATCAAATGATTTTGACGAAATGATCATGCAGTTAAAGGAGAAATTTAATTTGCCTTCTACGAGTACAAATGACAAATTAAAAGTGTTATCAGTGCTCCCTAAATCATGGTCAGTGAATCAAATAGTTAATGAGTTTAATGCACCCCATCATACAGTGAAACAGATGAAAAGGCTAGTCAGAGAACAAGGTATTCTTTGTAGTAAGAAAGCAAGAAGTGGTCATGGATTTAATGATACTGAAAAACAAATTGTTTTAAATTTCTTTGACAGTGATGATATTAGTAGGCCTATGCCAGGAAGTAATGATTATGTTTCTGAATATCGAAATGGATATAAAGAGCATGTTCAGAAACGTTTATTGATGATGTCTCTTAAAGAGGCTTTTATGATTTTTGAAGAGAAATACAAAAGTGTTAAAATCGGATTTACTTCGTTCACTCAGCTCCGACCAAAGCATTGCATACTGTTGGATAGTACAGGTACACATAATGTATGTATCTGTACTATACATGACAATGTTAAATTGATTATTAATAGTGTAAAATTTGATTCATATAAAGAAATTGCAGACAAAATACTTTGCAGTAGTCCTATTAGAACCATAGATTGTTTTTATCGTACATGTGAAGAATGCATTTCCACAGATAGTATCGTGAGGGAACTTACATCAATATTAGAAGCAGATGATATGGAAGAAGTTTTATTTCAACAGTGGTTGACTACCGACCGTTGTAATTTGGAAACTATTATTAAACCTGCAGATGAGTTTGTTCAATATTTGACGGAAAAAGTTGAAAAGCTCATAACCCATGATTTTATTCATAAAGAGCAATCATCTTACCTAAGTAATAAAAAAAAATTCTCTTCAAAACGGTGAAATTTTAGTGATTTGCGACTTTTCTGAAAATTATTCATTTATTATTCAAAACTCAGCACAGGGGTATCATTGGAACAATAATCAAGCTACGATACATCCTTTCGAAATTTACTACATAAAAGAAAACAAGTTGGAAAATTTAAGCTTTATTATTATTTCAGAAGTATTGACCCATGATACAATAGCAGTTCAATTATTTATATCAAAATTGTTAGATTTCATTAAACAATCTATTAGTTTCACAAAAATTACTTTCATGTCAGATGGAGCAGCGGCTCATTACAAAAATAAAAAGAATTTTGCCAGTTTGTGCAACTTCAAGTCCAAGTATGGATTGGAAGCAGAATGGCACTTCTTCGCAACGTCTCATGGGAAAGGCCCATGTGACGCAATTGGAGGAACTCTCAAACGAATGGC